AGTCCTCCACTCATTTTTGTTTTATTTTATTTTTAAAGTATGTTTTTTATTGATTTCAGAGAGGAAGAGAGAGGAGAGAAACAAACATGAATGATGAGAGAGAATCATGGATCGGCTACCTCCTGCACACCCCCTACTGGGGATCAAGCCTGCAACCCGGCATGTGCCCTTGACTGGAATCCAACCTGGGACCCTTCAGTCCGCAGGCCGACGCTCTATCCACTGAGCCACACCGGCTAGGGCCATCCTCCACTCATTTTTAGCCCACTCTCTGAGGGAGCCTTACTTTCCAGCGCTCTGAGCCCACCGTGGGGATCCTGGACAAGACATTTCAGCTGAATGTGAGGCAGGGATGGGCTGCGATGGAAGGACGCACGCCTGCTTGGCAGACAGACCTGGGGGCTTGATCTCCAGCAAGTTGCTTAAATTCTCCGAGCAGTTTCTCCAGCAGTAAAATGGGGATTCAGTTCCCACTGGAAAGGCTGAGAATTGAATTAGATGTTGTGTTCAGAGCGGCCACCCTTCCTGTCCTTTCCTCTCCCTGTGGTTAAGGGGGCATTCAGGCTATGTCTTCAATGGAATTTAGATGAACACATGGGGATTGTGGGGCCACGGGGGAAGGTGGGTTGCAGGCAGGTTGGGGCAGATGGCAGGAGGCCTTGAAATGCAAACAAAGGGCCCTGGCCGGTTTGGCTCAGTGGATAGAGCGTCAGCCTGCAGACTGAAGGGTCCCGGGATCTATTCCGGTCAGAGGCACATGCCCACATCGCTGGCTGGATCTCCAGTAAGGGGCATGCAGGAGGCAGCCGATCAGTAACTCTCTCTCATCACTGATGTTTCTCTCTCTCCCTCTCCCTTCCTCTCTGAAATCAATCAAAATATCTTTTTTTAAGAAAAGGGACCTGGGCTTGAGAAAGCAGAGTTAGGGGCCCGGCTATTGTCACCCCTCCTCTGTGCCTCCTCCTCTTTCCTCTCTCCTCTGGCCAGCGCTCTGCGCAGCGCGTAACAGGTTAAAAATAACAGGACTGATCTTCATAAACTCAGACTCCGGGGGTTGTTTCAGACACTGGAAATGGCTACAGAGCAGTCCCAGGCCCACCCTGGGAAGAAAAGGAAACAGTGTGCCCTGAACCGCTTCCTGGTTCCACCAGGCACAGGCGTAGGGGGGAGGGGGGAGAGCAGCCGCCCATGCCGGGCCCCTGAGATGAGGAAGGCAGGGGTGGGCTCTTTCCTCATCTCTCCCCGGGGCGCATCCCGAAGTTCTTTTGCGCCTGTGGGCCTCTGTGCTTTCCATTGGGATGGGAGGCCCGCACCTCCACCGTGGGTGTGCCCAGCACAGTCCCCACTTATAAATGGTAGCTTCTGGAAGCAGGACTTGTCCCTGCTGAAACGTCGGTGCTGAGAGGATCCTGATGTGGGCAGGAAAGCACGGTGGCTGGGGCCACAGGTTCAGAGCTGGGGGAACGGAGTGCCAGGACCTTCCTCACTTAAGCAAGTCAGTTCAGTATAACACATAACTGTTTACGGAGCAACTTCTGTTTCCCGGGCACAGCCGCCCTCGGGGGCGCGGGGTGAAGACCTGTATGTACTCTTAGCATAAGGAAGAGAGGGTAGCCACCGGCCAGGTTAGCAGACAATGGACCTCAAGCCTCAGTTTCCCCGTCTGCGGGAGAGGCGCAGGCCTGAAAGGCCCAAACAAATGCAGAGCACCTCCTACAATGTCTGCCTCTTAAAGCGAAGGGAGCTGTTTTTTATTTGCTGAAAAACTAGCGAAAGCTCATTGGTACTAGTAGTTTGTGAGAAATAGCTAATATGAAAACATCTTTAAAAAAAAATAAAAACATCTTACATGTTTACATCATGCCCAACATCAAAATCTTTTTTTTTTGGTCATTTTTTTTTTTAACCTTTGATCCGAAGAAGAAGAAGAAGAAGAAGACAATGTGTGGACTGTCAGGCCCAGGCCTAAGCATTTAGGCCTCCACACAACCCTGTGAGGCGGGTAGTGAAATGAGCCCCTTTGACAAATGAGGCCCGTCAGGCACAGAAAAATCAATGAACGTGGCCGGGGTCACGCAACGCTTCAGAATATTCCCTGAGTTTGTATTTCCTTTCAGCTGCCTCACCGGCTCCTTTTCATTGTCTCTGGGTCCCTGACAAGTTGGTGAGACAAGATCCACGCAGTAGACCTCCCTCCCTGGCCCTTCCTCTGTCTACCCCCTGCCCTCTTCCTCTCAGTATCTAAACACCGTGACCCGTGACCATGATGGCTGCTTGCTACCAAACTAGAGAAGCCCCCAGGCCTTTAGCAACATCTACTCCTCCATCTCCCTTAGAGGCAGCCTTGGGCAAGGCCTGGAGGAGCAGCAATGAGCTGGTGGCGGTATCTTTGTCAGGGGCGAGCTGGGGAGGAAAGCAGTGACTCTTGATGGCCTTGGGGTGAGGGGGACAGAGTCGCAGAACCTAGAGAAATGGTGTGGGCCTGCCCTGCGGCAGCTGCCAGGGAAACCGGCCAGAAACGCACCCTGCGTGACCTTGACTGAGTTTTCGCAGCGAAGTGGCCGGCAGCGGGGCAGAGTCAGGGGTCCTGGAACCAGAGACGTGACATCCTGTGTCTGCACGGAAGGGCTCGGCGCCCCCCTTCCGAGAGCAGCCGCCCACCCGAGCGTGAACTGGGGAGCCAGACAGTCAGTCTGCCCCTCCCATGTCCCCCAAGAAGAAGGAAGTCCAGGGGAAGAAGAAATGGGGAAGTCCCCGCCGCCCTGACTGGCTTTAAGGGTCCATACAACAGTGGACCCCCAATCCCTTGCAGACCAAGGCTCGGCCATAAACATGATTAGCAAGGATTTGGGGGAAAGGCTCCCTCGGGGCACAGGAAAGTATTCGGGGCACTTTTCTGCATTTCCAGACAGCCTCGAGGAGGCCTTTTCCAACCCGCAGGCCTTTTTTTCTGGCCTAGCTCTTTGCAGGCGCAGGGCGTGGTACCTGTCACTCGTTTCAGCAGCCAGGGGGTCGGTGGTGCAGAATCAGGTGCCATTTTGAAAACTGCTCCTGGCTGCCTACATTTCCGGATGGAACTCCCAGGCGCACCTCGAAAATGTCTGGTGCTGCAAAAGCCTCCCTTCAAAATACAGAGTTCAATTTTTCAGGCTTGAGAAAGAAATGCGATTGCTCATGTTTGGCATTTGACGCAGGCCCCCTTTAGCGATCGCCTGTATCATTTAGGAAAATGAGGGGCAGGAAAGTAAAAGACCCTCCTTGCTGTCAAGCTGCAAGTCCATAGCACAGCTTGAACTTGACTTATTTTTCTAAGGGAGAGGCGGTCAACTCTATAAACTCCAGATAAATGGAACTCAAAGCAGCAAATATTGCTGTTACTTGGTTTGGGTGCGCGCAAAAATGACAGCGATGGAAGAAATATGCATGTCGCCGAGGAGAAATTTTTAAAAATCACTTTATGGTGTTTTACCTCCCTCCCGAGTCACGGAGACCGACGTCGATGAGACAAAGAGGGCCGGGTGGGGCCCGATGCCCTCCGCTGGCCTGAGAGCTGAGTCACACGAATCGCACCCCGCAGTGGGCGAGGCCCCCCTGCGAGGTCACAGCGCACCCTCGCTCGGCGATGGCTCCATCGGACAAAGCCAGATTCGCAGGGAAGGAATGCCTGTCCCCCTAGGCACCACTCAGGTTCTTAGGTATCCTGCTCTGGTGCCCAAGAGCGGGCTTGCGGGCTGTTGCAAAAATCCATGATGGCAAAACAGACATAAAAGGGGGAAAGAGCGTTAGGAAGGGCGTGTTGTAGGCTGGGGGTGGGGTGGGGTGGGGGTTCTCGTCTTATTTTTCCACCCTCATTGCGGTTAGGGTGCATTGGTGGACGCGGGTGGGGGCCCCCCAAACGCCACGTAGGGCCCCCGGACGCCGACTTGGACCCCGGGCGCGAAGGAGTTAAGCCGACGCGCGGTGACATCACCTCATTTGCATAGGAGCGCGCATAAAAGGGAGCCCGCCGCCCCCGCCCGGCACTCGGCGGCTGTCCGTGAGCAGATCGACTTCTCTCGTTCACGCACCTCGCTCGGCTTCCTCGCTTGGGTGGGTCCCCTTCCCTCCCCGCATCCCTGCTGCGACACCCCGAAAGCCCAGCCCCAGCGGCCCTCCCGGGAAAGGGCTGCCTTGGGAAGATGGGCAATGTCAAATATTTCCAGACGCCAGGTAACGGGGCGATTTTTTTTTTTTTTAAAGAAAGATTAACCTGGCGTTTTGTTAGGCAGCTACCAGGGAGCAGGCTTTCCCTTCTTCCTCCCCGGGAAGGCATTCTGCGTTGCCTCTTAGGCAGAGAACAGAAAGCCCCTTTGTTCCAACGCACACCCACCCGCCCGGGCTGCGACAATTGCAATTCCCCGCCAGCCTCGGGGGGCTCCGTGGGCTGCATCTGGCCAGGTTGAGGGCGCCCGGGCAGCATGGAAAGCCCTCCTGCAGGGGAATGCGTGCCCGAGGCTGCCGCACCGCCCCGGGTTACAGATGGGGCTGATTTATGGGTGCGGGCAGCTTTGTGCGGCTCCCGCATTGTTGCGCGCCAGGGAGGAAGCGGGCAGGGCGGTGTTCAGCGCCGCAGCAGCTACCGCTGCCTTAGAGACAAAAGAAAGCGCATTTCCAGGAACAGAGAACACTCAGAGGAAATGCTCAGCCCTGGCTTTATTTGAAGAATTTTCACTCGCCCTTTTTCCCCCTTTAAACTCGCTGTTATGTCCTCCTCTGTGTCAGATTTTGATATTGAAACGCTGTAGTGAAACCCGCAGTACCCCATCGATCTTCCCAGCCTGGGCCCAGCATTTTGAGAGATTGAAACTGTGGGACGGAGATGGGAGGTTCTGGCTGCGAATGGACACGGGAGGAGGCGGAGGTGGGGTTTCAGGCGTGAGATGCGAGGGCCAAAGCGCACTTCTGAGCTTGGAGACGGGAGACCGAGCGGGAGACTCAGCGGCTCCGCGCTCACCCTCCCTCCTCGCTTTGTATCTGCAGCTTCCTCTGCAACCATGTCTGATAAACCCGATATGGCTGAGATTGAGAAATTCGATAAGTCGAAACTGAAGAAGACAGAAACGCAAGAGAAAAATCCACTGCCTTCAAAAGAAACGATTGAATAAGAGAAGCAAGCAGGCGAATCGTAATGAGGC